TTTATTACGCACATAATTCCACGTACCGCCCATAGTTACTCAAAGATACATGTTAATATTTCATTCTGGCATATAAAAACAATTTAGTCTGACCAAATTGCACTGTCCGGCCACCTCTGCCCTGCCCCTCTTGCTCACTTTCTGTTGAGTTTTCTGCTCCAAAGTGCCATTCGCACACGGCGTCATTTGCTACGGTCAAATCAGTTCAAAATGTATTTTGCATTCATTATTGTTATTATTTTGTTGCTTTTGCTAGTTGATAACCTCAATCATTCCCTCTCAGTCTCACTGCGGTGTGGCTCTCCCGCCTTCTCTCGCACACATGTCTGCCGCTGTAGGTGACACTCACTTGCTCTTCGACTTTTTTACAGACAGCTTTTAAACAAATAATATGATCTATCTACACACACAAATGTGCACATATACAATATACACATGTGTGTGTGTATACCGCCTACATATATACTGAGTATATAGTTCGTATTTGTATTTTAAAAACAAAATAAACGCAGATGCCGCCGTTCCTGTTATTCCCCACTCTCGTCCGCGGTCTCTCCCCACCCGTGAGTCATGCACTTGTTGCAGAATTTCGAGCAGATAATAATTACAAATACACACACAAACAAGTGCGCATACATACATATTGTTTTTGGAGGGACCACACCAGCAAAACAACAAAACTTTCCAATAGATTTGAAAGCATTCCTGGAAATTTGATAAAAACAAAGGCGCAAAAGTCGTTGACATGACGAAGATTTCGGCAATTTATGTTGATTTTGCAAATGTGCAGACAGATGACACCGTATGCGAGCGATCATGTTATTATCTGAGTGACCATGTCAAATTTTGCACAGAAGCAAAACGAAGTGCAGCCTGGTGGTTATCGACATTATTACATACATACACACAAATACATACAGTTATTTGGGACACAACAGGTGCCTGGCAACTGTGAAAAGGACAAACGTGAAGGTCTCCCGGATGGGTGGCTAGTTGCCAAGGCCACGCCAACGCCCAACGCTCCACGAAGCGTGAGGGGTTTGATAAGACATTGACGGCAAACCGAAACCCCACTCTGCCCACGCATCAAATGTCCTTCGAGATAATGAAATGATAGGCATTTATAATCCCGGCGAATGTTCGTTCACGTAATGGAACCAAGTAACACCGACATGGATAATGGATTGGGGGATGCGACTGACAGGGCTGGGCAGAGCAGAGCAGGGGTAGAGTAGACGCCATGTGGGCGTATGCTCGAGCTTTATGTAATGCCCCGGGCCGGGGAGAGAAAGAAAGCCTGCCCGGGCAACGCCGACGCCGCCATTGCTGTTGTATGTTTACCGTTATCACACTCACTCGCAGGCAACAACAAAACAGCTGCCAACGTAACTGTTACCGAGTCAGCTGAGCCCTGGGTAGCCACCCCTACATGAAAGCGTATATATATGTACACAATACATAGATGAAATACAAACAAATGATGGCCCGCACCACCGTTTACCCACCCCCAGAGCATGATGCTACATAACGCACAGCACAGCACAACCCCCAAGCCCCGTGGCGACCCACAATTCAAGCCAAGTGGCAACACTGGGCTTAATTTTATTGATTTTCTCTCTACCCACCCCACCCCCTTTGATAACCGCTTCAGAACTCAGGTACCTGAGCTAGCACCCACGCTAAAATTAGAAATTGTTTATATCTAGGCGGGAAGCGGTGGGAAGGGGGAGAAGGTGCTCCGACAGCCGGTACAAGTCCACACATACAGAATGATTAATTAGGGCTCTCAGGAGAATGGAGGGCGGACGTAACCCAGTCACGTGTGTATTCCGAGGCCCAGCTTCAGCTCAGCTTCGGACAGGAATTGATTACGCACAATTGTGCGTGGGCGGCCGACCGGGAGTCTGTGAAAGTAGACCGCATCTCCGATTACTCGTCAAATGCATAGCTGCTCGGAATACACCTGCCGCTACAGCGACTGAGACGCGCGCTCAAAACCCAAGCCAAGCCATGCGGACAGGTCACAGAAAAGGGCGCCTAACATGCCGGTTCCATAGTACAAGATGCTGTGCTGGCCTCACGCACACCAAGCCACGTACACACTCACACACGATCGCACTGATGTTGTTGGTTTGTTGTTGCCTCAATGGATCACCGGCTTTTTGCTTGCTTTTGTTTTGCTTATGGTGCTCGCTCGCTCGCACCAACATAGTAACATGGTTGTATCCGATCATGGCCAGACCAGAGGAGCAAGCGCACAGCAATCGAATGCATGCTGTACGCGTCGCGCTTGGGCGTGTGAGTGGAGTGTACTTGCCGGGGTGTGCGTGAGCCACACACAGGTAAGCAATTGTCTGCCTATTGTAAATGCTACGTGCATATTTAGAAAGCATCGATTTTCCCCCGAATAGAATCTGAACTGTCATTAATAACTGGCTTTAGGCCCATCCAATCGTCCAATAAAAACAACATTCACCACACTCACTCACAAGCACACACACGCCATACACTCTCAACCGCACCGCGCATCATATAAACGTAGGTACATATATACCGTGTGGTATATAAATAAAATAAACAAAACACCGCCCGACTCGGTGCATCACGCGACTACTAAATGGTTACTCCCGTGTCACAAGCGCTCACCTATATGGGTGTCCTCGATGTGTGATATTAGATCGCCTAAGCTTGGAAATGTGATGCCGCAGCCACTGTATTTACAGACGTTAATCAGGAACACGGCCATATCACTCACTCGAGTCGTACGACGATGACTGCGATGTAGTTATGTAAAATTGTTCGAATGAATACTGTTGTTGGTGGCGATGGTCGTGACTATCGAATATCTATCGATAGTCAGCAGCGAAACATTCTAGCCCGTGGATATAGCCTGTGCCTATTCCTGCGACTTTAGCCTCGCCTCGTACTCGCAATCCCGCTGTATATAATGATATCCAACGATATTGGGTATCCTGCCAGGTGCAGCTGAATTCACAGTGAGTTGCCGAACCGCGTGGCTGTGCTGTGGCGCCCGGTCGATGCAGCCGATGATGCCCCTGTTGTTGTTGTTGCTGCTACTGCCGTCTCTAGCTGGCCTGGCTGCGTGGTGTGGTGTGTTTCGGTCTCACACACACACACACTCAGGCATAAATGCTGCTGTTATGCAATTGAGGGCTGCAATGACACACGAACGGGGAGCGGGACGGTGGGGTTCGCGGTTAGATGTGTCCAAACAGGAAGAGGCAAACTCACAATTTGTCTACTTACAGCATTCTGTATCGATTGAGAAGCCTTGTAGTTGCACGAAATTAAAACATATTCGAAGCGACGTGACGTAGACACACCAACGACACGACGACGCGTTATGCTGCGGCTGTAGTTGTGTGCGTGGACGTGGTGAATAGCCCAGAAACGGCGCTAAAACCAGGGCTAGAGCGAAGCATTCGATTACATGAGCAAAGTCCAGTTTTAGTGGGTGGAACTGATTAAACTATGCTATATACTGTATTTATGGTTTATTAAATTCATAATTAAATTGTACAAACTACTATCGACTGCACACTTTCCAATACTTTTGAATTGAACCGCCCGACTATCGGAACTATCGCCGACTGACAAATTGTTGTTAGTTTCAATTAGTTTAGGCAGCCTATCAAAATATATAGATGCGACCGCCAAAATCAGCAAACTTACGGCAGAATATTGAGAAATATAATTGTAATCACGAATAAGTCAGAAATATGTCAATATGGTTAAAATTAATTAGTCAGTGAGGTTCATACTCTTGAGGAGTTAATCGATTACTTGAAGCAAACTTCTATCACGACCTTGTATAGGTCACATTCCTTGCTTTCTCTTGTCTGTTCAAGGTAGAATACATGTAGAGAGGACATTAAGGAGTCGAAACCAGTTTTGAAACTTACACATTTTCTCGTCAGGTGTCTCTGTTGCTAATTACATAAACATGTTGTTGATATGTTGAAAATGTGCAGTTACCGTGTAGTTACTATGTATTATAAGTGTGAACGTTTATTCTTTTTGGTATATTTCTGGGGTATTTTTGTGTTCATATTTGAATTGTTCTCATGAGCCTCTCTTTGGGAGGTGATGGTGATTATCGAGCAGTTAATCAGGCCAGCTTTTTTAAGGCCCTCACTATTCCCTCAAACCTGGGGAAAGCTCCACAATAGGAAGTGATTAGCTATTAGAAAGTCCAGCTGCTTTTCCCAATATATACAACATATGTACGCACTTCTCGTAACTGTTTGATTAGAGCAATGTACATATATATATCTATACATGTGCAATGTGTGTAATCCAATAATAAGCTTATTAGTAAAGAAAGGATTGATGAATTTAATAAAACTATAGCTTTGATTCTGATGGTCCCAGCTTGTTAGTAATATTATTCAGAACACCAAAATCGCAAAATTTGATGCCTTTAGTTTTAATACGACATTGTTTAGGTCACACACCTTGGCAATTTTCAATATTGTAGTATTTTGTACAATTGTTATTCAGTATTTTTAAGGACGCGTTGTGCATCACCCTTTTGCCTAATGAACCAATGTGTAAGCCGTGTGGATATGCTATATATAACAATTTCCCAGGCCACTAATTCAATATCTGCAGACAATTCCTGATCGTTTGATATACAAATTTTAATTTGTTAGAAAATGTCGACTAAAAAGGGATTCCACACTGCCGCCTCCACTAGCGGTTATGAAAAAAAAAACGGAGAACCTTATCAACAGCATACACATTTCCTCGACAGGTGTCTCTGTTACTGGCAACATTAGCTGACAAAGTTTCGGGAATTTAATCAATTTAGAAACAATCCCATAAAGGAGAGTCCTTAACTTTAACCATTCTTGTAAAAAATTATATCATGAATTAGAAAAAATTATAGCTCTAGTTCCGAGAGTCCCAGCCAAATTGTTACAATAAATAGAACAACGAAATCGTGGAATATAGTTTTCAACGGTATATACACGGTATATTTTGTTAGTTAACCGGTATATTTCCGAGAATCGTGCGGTATATTTGATCGACAGGCCCGCGGTCACACTGCTGCACAGGCAAAGTTAAAATTCACGTTCAATACGTTTCCACCACTGTTGTTAAGGGTTTGTTCGAAGTGAGTTGAGTTAAGAAAATTGGAAACTGGTCTGCTGCCGCCGCCGCCAGCGGAGCACCCCCTGTCCTTCGCTGGTTGAATAATCAGTGCTCGTAAAGAAAATGCCCTAGACTGTCTGGCGAATGTGTGCAATCAAGTGGAAAAGTGTTAATTATCAGTGAAAATTGCATTTTTCTCAAAACGTGTCGAAGTTGTCGCCATCTTGCGGTACACACACACACACACACACACATGTGATGAGAGAGGGGAATTGCCAGTGCTCAGTGTGCGTGTGTGGTGTGTGTCGTTGCGTCACTGAAAAAATTTAAATTTGCCAAATTTGCAAAGAAACTAACGAAAAAGGTTTTAATTTGATAGAATTAAACTAAAGCGTGAATATTAACATCGACTCGCGTGAAAGTCTAGTGCAAAAGCAACTTTTTCCACGCATTACGTAACATTTTGCAGGCGGTAGCAGCAGCAGAAGCAGCGGCAGCGGCGTTTGCCAAATGCAAACTCACTTATCGCACAGAATCTATAGTTTATTTCCATCTATATCTTTTGCAGAGCTCCGTGCGCTAGCTTCAATTTTGTCGTAAGCCAATCAAAAAAAATCAACTGAAAATGTTCGTGTCGACAGTCTCTCGCATTGCCCCCGTTGCCAGGAGCGCCGTAAGTAGACGAAAATGTGATGTTACTATTGTTGTTGTACCTTTGCGCGAGATAAAATTGTCCAAAATGTGTTACATAATCAATTGCTGAATCGACTATTCTATTCTTTTTTTCGCCCGGTATGCATAAAAATCTATGCTGGTGGCCGCTTACATGAGCCTCTCCGTGGTGAACTTCCAATCGTGGAAACACATACAGTTACATAAGTTGCAGCCGAAATTGAGGTTATGTCGTGAGTGCGGCTGCAAATATAATTTAAGTGCGATTAAGATACAAGAAAAGGAATTTAAACATTTTTCAATCGAAATGGAATTATTTCGTTGACCAACTAGTACCTACAAATGGTCTCACATGGCATTGTGTAACCCCCTTAACCGTATCGTATCGGTCGTGCGCGCGCCCTAGTTGAGGTTAGAACTGGTGAAAGCTTTCCAATGGCGAGAGGAATAATTTAACTTTTGTTTATGACATTATTGATAATCCCACAGTCCATTCGGCAGTGCAATAGCGTCGGTGGTCAGTGTAAATAGCAATGAACAACATCAATTGCAGTTGCCAAAATATTAAACAGAAATTACTCAACGATTGCATAACCTGGCAATGGCCGGCCAATGCCTATTAAATAAGAATTTTCTCTCACGGCGAAAGAGCGCAATGAACTGACGCGTCACTCACAAGGGGGGGGGGGGGGATGGTTCTTATCATTTGGATACACTTTTATCTCAAGCAAAAGTACACAGCAGCAACACTCGTCTATCATTATTCTTCTTATATAATATAATCAACTCTGTGTGTCTTCCTTGCAGCTCCTCGCCAACTCCAAGCAGTACTTGCGGCCATTGAGCAGCGCTGTCATCAGCCAGAGCCAGACCTTTGCCGCTCAGAACACAACCCCAGTTGCATTACTGCCACAAATCAGGTCATTCCAGACCTCGCCCGTCACCCGTGACATTGATTCGGCTGCCAAATTCATTGGTGCTGGTGCTGCAACAGTCGGTGTCGCTGGATCCGGTTCGTATTGGTTTTTGTTGTTACTCCTAGTCCCATTCCCATCCCAATCCATCATGCTCATGTAACCGCGTCCCGGCTCTTCACCTCCTTCAGTCAGTTACAAACTAGCATCTGGGGCACACACAACGAGTATCTGATTACTCTTACTTTGCCCCGGGAAGGTCTGAGATTTGGCCAAGCCTCCTTGTGTTGTACAACATGCGGTGCATCGAGAGGTGCCCGTGTGTCGGAGGCTTCATTTCCTAGCAGGAAACCTGTGTGATTGCAGGACGAAAGTACCAGAAATGCTGCGGCTTGGCGTTGCCATCGGCGTTCGCGTCTGACTGCCGCCCTGTTCGCATTGAAATCTTTCGTGGCCGGCTTTTTTAGTGCAATGTGCTTGCTGCAGCGCCTTCGGGCAACGCAGAACTCAATTCAGACTAATCTGTGACTGACTGGCGTCAGCAAAAGAGGTGAAAGACGGAAGACGTTGGCTGGGCGGTTGTGTTTATACAGAAGTCAGTCGCATAAACACAGTCGGAGCTCTTCGGCTGTGGCCGAAGATCATCTTTCAGTTTGATTTTCAAAGTGAAACGTTGACTAATTGAATATTGTCTTTCTCACCCCCACATGTTTCCGACTCATTGACAACGAACCAATGCAACAGGTGCTGGTATCGGAACAGTATTCGGTTCCCTCATCATTGGTTATGCCAGGAACCCATCGTTGAAACAGCAGCTGTTCTCCTACGCCATTCTGGGCTTTGCCCTGTCTGAGGCCATGGGTCTGTTCTGTCTTATGATGGCTTTCCTGCTGCTCTTCGCCTTCTAAGCGCGCATCGATCGAATGCTCGTCCTTGTTTCCTGCAATCGTGCGTGTGTGTGTGTATGCTCGGCTGAGGGCAGACGCGGGCATCCGAGCGGTGGCAGAGGGGAAGTAACCAACAACCAACCAACAACACCATCGTTCGTTTCTTCGATTATTAATGATAAAAATGATTGATTGATTGATAGCAACAAGAACATCCTGTACAACTATCTAATTATAAAATAACAACAACAACCACAACCACATAATATATGTAATTTTGTTTTTAAAAAACATCCGAAACGTAGTAATCGCCTAAGTAGTAACATCATCGACAAGGAGAAGAACACACTTTGAGTTAAGTTTAAAACGATATCAGCAAGCGGAGTGCTAATAAACAATCCTAGAAGAACACAACACTGCGAGAATGCATTACAGAGAGAGATCGGAGGATGGAATCAAAGACTAGACACATTCACGATCGATATTGTATAACGAAATGTATAACGAACAGCTGAATCTGTATAAATTAAAATTCGATTTTAATTGAAGCAACCTTCAGGCTCATCGCCCAGCCCCACACACACGCACTCGAGGAAGAGGCCCAGGCCAGGAGTCGCGCACTCCTTCATCCAGGTGGACTAGGAGGTTCACGTCCGCTTCAAGTCTCTCTCTCTCTCCACCGAAGTTCTTGGACCAGCAACATCCGTCAAAGCGGCAGGCAAAACGTGCCTCCTCTGTCCATTCGTCTGGGGTGATGTGAGTTCGGGCGATCCTGGCCGAGCAACGCCCTTGACCGTGTGTGTTCGGTGCTGAGCGTTGTAGTTGTGCTCATTTTGCTATTTTTATGTGGCCTGTACTGAGAAACCATTTCTTTTCAATTGTATTTTCAATTTCCTTAATGTAACGCAGTTAATTTTATTATTGCCACTTAATATTTATTATGAATATGTACTAAAATTAGGATTTTATCAATGGCATGAGCAAACGAAAAAGAAGCACGGAGCCGAATTGTGAAATAAAGGAGATATGAATGTGTTAAAGGAACAAAAATCGTTGTTTTATATATATTTCTCTTTGGAAAACCCAAGAAAGAAATGTGAGGGTCCTGAGTTTCCTCAGTTTGAATTTCCCCCGCGATACCGCTTAAACGCAACTCTGTGGTGAAATACTATCGTCATATCGATAGTCCGCCACGTGTTTTTGTTTTTGTTTTGCTCGCGTCATTTGATGGACTTCGCCAAGAAGATTCTCGGGAAATATGGCTGGAAGGAGGGCGAGGGTCTGGGCAAGAACAGCACTGGCATCGCGGCTCCATTGAAGGCTAGTCTCAAGTTCGACAACGCCGGCTTGGGCGTGGACCGGGCGCAGGAGTTCAACGATCATTGGTGGGAGCGGTGCTTCAACGAGGCAGCCAACAATGTGGATGTCCAGGTGCAGCAGGATGGGCAGGTCAGCACCAGTCGCAAGCAGGGCGAGGAGGCTGTCGAAATCTCGACCAAGGGATTCTCTGCGCGCAAGCTGAGGAAGGCCAAGGAGCAGCAGGCCATGTCTGGTGCGGCCACCTACGACAACTTTCTGCAGACAGCGCTGCTCACCCAGAACGGCGGAGAGGTGGAAAATGGGGAGCGCATCAAAGTGGAGGACATAGCCGTCTCCAAAGTTAGTGTCCTTACGGATGAGGAGTTGTTCAAGGCGTGCGGTGGACGAACGGCGCACAAAGGCGCTCGACATGGCCTGAAATTGAGTGGGAAACTGGCGCGAATAGAGCAGCAGGAACGTGAGATGTTGGAGCAGCTGCAAAGCAAACAAAAGTCTCGCTTGGATGAGGAAGCAGCCCAGAAGAAGAAGAAGAGGGACAAGACAGAAAAGACCCAAGAGTTGCAGGTGGAAGCTGAACAGCCACCTGTGGAGCAGCCCGACAAGTCAAAAAAGAAGAAGCGCAAGACTGAGGAACCCGAAGAAGAAGCTGAAGCTGATGCGCCAGTCAAGAGCAAAAAGAAAAAGAAGCAAAAGCACAGGCAGGAGGAGGATCAGGAATAGGTTAAATAGAATCTATTTAAGAGCACATAAATTGTATGTATTTAGTTATAATAAATCTATACACGATCTGGGAAGGCAGGTAAATCTAAGTTTGGTCAGCTAATCGTAGGCGGGGAGGTTATTTTCTGCCCTTGGCCTTGATGCGTCTCGATTTGCCCATCCGCTTGTTGACCGATGCTCCAGCCTTGGCGCCCCGCTGTCGGCGTGTGGACTTCTCTGCGTCCAAGCCAGCCGACGAGGACTTTGTGTTGCGCTTGAGACCCTTCTTCTTGCCACCAAAGCCAAACTTCTTGTTGCGCGCCTTGCGGTTTTCGGCAGTCTTCTTCTGCTTGGACTCCAGCGCTTTGGCGTCCTCGAGGAAGTCCAGGTTCTTCAGCTTGCCCTTGCGGAACTTTTTCAGCTTGTCCAACATATCCTTCTTCTCGGCCTCGCGCTGCACCTTGGTCTGCTTGGCCAGCATCTTGCCCATCTTGCGCTGCTCTCTGATCTGCTTGATGCGCTCCGACTTGGCCTGGCCCTGCTGCTTGGCCATCAGATTGGATCGCACCTTTTGCATGTGCTCGTCGCTCTTGGCCATTTCAGCAAAGTAATCATCCGGACGGCGTGTCTTGATGCCCAGCTGCTGCAGCATCGGTATACCCTCCAGCACGGCGCTCTGTGCCTGCCGATGGAACAGCATCTCGCGCTTGAAATCGTTAAGCACGGGATCCTCTTCGGGCCGCACGTATGGCAGCTTGGCGTTGCCTTTGAACACATTGGCGCGCTTCTGTTCGTGCTTCTCCAGCTGTACGGCCAGCTCTGGGGCCATGGGCGCCAGTGTGTTGACCATATCCAGACGCTCCACCCACGGCAGCGACATCTGAATGGCCTTTGTTTTGGCCAGAAGCTTTGTCTGCAAATAAATGATTAGCCAGATGCATAGAGGAGAGTGTGTGCTCTTACAGTATCATTAACTCGGTCGCGTTTTTCATTGAAGACCACATTGAGGCCGGGTTTGAGTTCGCCACGCTCGAATGCGTCTTGCAGCTAGTTCAAAAAAAAATATCTTTGTTAGCATGTTCCTGGGGGCAATCTCCATTCCGTGACTCACCTCAGCGTCGGACATGTCGTCGTATTCCGAGCCACTTTCTTCCATTTCAAAGTCGGACATGCTTAAATTAATTAGAAATCTGCTAAATTTACAAAAGAAAACAATCTACACGTGCGGCGGCAGTGTGACCGCGAGTTTGTCGCACAGATTCCAAATACTCAAAAGTATATACTGCAAAATACGGAAGAACAGATTTGCCAGCTCTACTGTTAACTCGATGTCTCTGTTAACTAACGTCACAAATCGCTAAGCTTACGTCTATCGGGGCACGCTTCGTTTTTGAACACTTTCGCTCCTGTTTCTGTCCTGTATGTTATATACTTTACGAGATATTTCAAATGAAATTGTATGGGGCAGCTACATGCTTCGAAAAGTGATCAGCACTTTATGACAACAATGAAAAATGATTGAATATTAGCAGTATATTTATGGTATATTGAAAATGAAAGGGTATATTTCGGTATATTTTCGATGGTTCGCATTTCTATCGATAAATCCGCGGTTACCCTGATTCTGTGTGTGATTTTTGTATACCCGGTATCTTTAAAAAATGTCTGCAAATCTTGCAAATATCTACGCGGAATTGATGCGCAGGTATGGCGAGGACTATACCATCACTTATGGACCGCCGCCCACGTACCTGAGCAGCATAGCAGGCGCCAGTGAAGTCGGCAAGAAGATCGTGCTCGTATTCAAAGAGGATCGCAATGCAGCGTCTAGGATCAAGACGACGCCAAAGAAATTTGTGGAGAAAAAAGAGGGATCGACGGACCTGGATTTGACTGGCAGCCCGCTGAAGGACGATTGCATTGTGGATGCCATTGCCGATCTTTCGCTGGACCTGCAACTGGTGAATTCGACTGCCTGGAAGCTGGAGGAGGAGTTTCAGCGCGGTGTGGCCGTAGACAAGGCTCGCGGCATTATCTGCAGCGAGCATTTCCAGCACGCCGATGGCGTTGGATCCGTCTGGTTTCTGTGCGACGGCAGCGACCATGGCCAGACGCAGTTGCTGCAGTACGAGTTCAACAAGACGCATTTTTCGCGCGGCATCCTCAGCTATCAGGGGGTGCTGCCCGCCTTTATGGTGACCACGCAGTCGCTGGTGCGTCAGCACTCGGCGGTCCCTACCGAAACGACCATTGAGAACAGATATCAGGTGAATCCGCACATGACACTGCGCTGCTCCTGGGCCACTTCGGCGCCGCAGCCGCTGCTGGTCAATCTGCGAGACTGCGAGGTGGCTCTCTCGCACACATTTCGCGTGGGCGATTGCAGTCCTCTGACACAGGACTTTATGAACCAGCTGCGCATCCTGGTCTTCATTCGCGAGGACATCGTTAGCTACCACAAAGACGAGCAGCAGGACGCTGGCAGGGACCCCACCTATCGCTGTGGACACGGCATCGATATGGATGAGTTACGCGAGTCGATTAACAAGACCATGACGGATGTTTCCGGCCTGATGGAGCACTACAGCAGTGGCGCTGCCGAGTTTGACATCGAGGAGGTGGTGCATCGGGCCAAGGGCAGGCGTCTCACGGATCTCACCGACAAGCTCTGGGAGCTGCTGAAATGTAAGCTAATTTCTTATGTTACATTCGAATATTACAATCATATTCTGTGTGCTTTAGGTTGTGGTTCCTACAAGGATCTGAAGATGGCCTTCAATATGCTCTTCCAGTGCGCCGCTCGCTGCAACATTGTGGTGCGTATAGCCAAATGAGCTCAGGGTTCAATCACATAATTATCATATCTCCATCTTCCAAAGAATACACCAACCAACAAGAATCGCCTGGCAGAGATCATCACAGAGCTGGCCAATCGCCGCCTGGCCATACCCTGCCTCAGTGGTGCCGAGGCACTGGAACTGCTGCTGGAAGTGGGTCTGGAGAAGGTGTACAAGGACTACGAGTTTATCTACACGGAGAGTAAAATGTGCAGCACCAATCTGCTAAAGGAGACCTCAGAGACGGCAGATGGAACGTCGCCCCAAAATGTGCCGCAGCTCCGCAAATCTCTTCACAACGCTGTCCGTGGAGATGCTACGCCAGGTGCTGGCATACGTAAGACCCTGCTACATCTCGACGCAGACAGCAGAGTTGTGGGCGACAAGTACGGGGACGAGGATGTGGCTGGGATCAAAAACAGCTACTTTGATGAGCACGAGAGCATGGAGCGTATCTCGAAACTGTTCCAAATCCATTGCACCATGGAGCATCTGCTGATGATTCACATTCACCTGAATCTGCCCAATGGTGAGCAGAGGCTCCTCAAGATAACCACAAACTCTTTCTAAATGATTCGTCTCTAGTCTACAGCGATGTCTGCTCTGAGCTGTTGAAAAAGACCCCCAAGCTGGTGGAAGCCATCGATGACCAGCTAAGCGATGTGATGGACATTCACCTGGCTGCCCATTACGTTCGCGAGCATCTAGATGGCAAGGAGCCCTACTCGCGGCACATCACAATGAAGTCGTTGAACAAATTCCGCGAACTTCAGACCACTTTTTATTTCAATTCGGAGAATATTTGCCCGCCCGAGCTGGCACAGTGCTTTCAGTGCGATGGTTGGTAGTAGATTTAAATATCATTTTGTGACGATATTTAAGTATTTTAATTTCTCTTTTAGATAAAGAACTGGTCAAGGAGCGCACCTATCATTCCTGGCTTTATCGCAAGATTCGTACACTGAAATGAGTCTTCTGTAATAATTTCCTTTGCCTTTAACCTGCAATCTTTTGTGCACGTATTGTAAATCCTAAATTAGATCCTATATTATATCCTCTATGTATACACCCCGATTCCTCTCAAAACTCAATTGTTTGCAGCTTGTTGTACACGCTACTTTTCACGCATTTCCCACACCCCGAAACCCCGAAATCATGTTAAGCGAAATCCTACAAGTTTTAAGCTGACCCAGAGGCTGCACTTCTGCATTGACTGGCCCCAGCAAAATCTTGAAAACCAAAATCCTCTTCCGCCCTTTTGGCTGGCTGGCCCTATTCGCGTATTCACTTTGCTGGCCATATTCTAAACAAGCGACCATCCATCTATCCACTAAAGTAATGCAGCAAATTAACCGAAAGCGTTGGTGTGCTGTGCCCAATGGCCAAATGCAACAAAGGCGTCTTGGCGCCGCTGAGCATTCCCGATATGTTACAATCCAATTAGCTGGGCACGCCACTTGGCCGGCCAACCTCCCACAGCCCATTGATTTGCATGTGTCAGACGTGCGTGAAACGCGCTACGGTTCGGACGTGTTTCTTGTGTCTCTCAACAGCAAGTCGAGCAGCATAGGTGCGAGCGCCCAAGGACTGAATACTCTCTGGCCAGAGGGCAGTGATAACAGCCACGCGAGTGTCCTGCGCAGGAATTAATCAATCAGTGGGAATCAGTGAGAGCAAAGCAGAGCATCAGTGGAGAGTGTGGAACCGAACCGCATGTGGGAATTGAGTGGCTGCCAAATCAAATTAAGTCTGTTCTAAATGCCAATTATCGCGAGTGCCTAATCCAATTAACAAAATGGTGTGTATGCCACAACAGGAGATCCTGTTGAAAGCAATCAAATATGGGACTCCCAGCTGCTATAACTTGATAAAAGGACATTCGATGGGATAGACCAAGCAGTAGCCTCTCAAGTGCAGTGACAGACTGTGGGCTGTGGCTTCAACTCTTTGTTGTGGCTAAAAAGGAAGCCTTAGATTTTAAATCCTTCACGCCTGAACCCTGTCTGTTGAACGATAATGAAGGGAACTGTTACTCTGGGCTTATGGAAGCCAAAGATCTTTCCTCCCTTCCTTCATTTTTAGCATATCCTTTTTCACTTGACATGTCTCTCGCGTTTTAGGGTCTCGAGTTCTTCTTTAAGTTTGGCTATGCCTTCCTAACCATAACGCTCATCATCATGATCTGGATGTCGCTGGCCCGCGCCTCGATGCTCGATCGTGAGATGCAGGAGACGCGCTATCCGCCCTGCACCTACAATGTGATGTGCACCTGCTCCAAGTCATCCACTGATCTGGGCATTGTACACTGCAAGAATGTGCCATTTCCAGCACTGCCACGAATGGTGAACCAGTCAAAGGTGAGTGCAGCAGCGACTACTCTGCTCTGCAGTGCTGAAAGTTACCATTTGGGGCATAGGTTTTCATGCTTCACATGGAGAACACGGGACTGCGTGAGATAGAGCCCTACTTCCTGCAATCGACTGGCATGTATCGGCTAAAGGTTTCGGGCAATCATCTGACAGAGATACCCGATGACGCCTTCACGGGTCTGGAGCGTTCGCTGTGGGAGCTCATACTGCCGCAGAATGATTTGGTGGAGATACCCTCAAAGGCGCTGCGGCACCTACAAAAACTGCGGCACCTGGATCTGGGCTACAATCACATAACGCACATCCACCACGACTCGTTCCGCGGGCTGGAGGACTCGCTGCAGATGTTGATCCTGCGGGAGAACTGCATCTCGATGTTGCAGACGCACAGCTTCACGGGTCTGCTCATACTGGAGACCCTAGACCTGAGTGGCAACAACCTCTTTGAGATCGATCCGAATGTGTTTGTGGACGGAATGCCGCGCCTCACGCGCCTCCTGCTCACGGACAACATTCTCTCGGAGATCCCCTACGATGCTTTGGGGCCACTTAAGAGCCTGCGCACCCTGGACATCTCCCACAATGTGATCTGGTCGCTGAGTGGCAATGAGACGTACGACATCAAGGCCAGCACCAAGTTGAATCTGGATAACCTGCATCTGGAGTACAATCATATCGAAGTGCTGCCGCCAAGCTCCTTTAAATACTTTGAGACGGTCAATCGGACTTTCTTTGATGGCAATCCCATACACACACTCAAGGTGCGTACCCAGATGACCTTTGACCCTTGCTAATCTCTGCTCCTCTCTGGCAGGAGGATGCCTTCAAACCGGCTAGGATAAGGGAGATTTACATGCGGTACTGCGGCCTTACGAACATCTCGCCACAGGCCTTTGACAGCCTCGTGAACAGCCTACAGATCCTGGATCTCTCCGGCAACAATCTGACCAAGCTGCACCACAAGCTCTTCAACAATTTCGATGTCTTGAGGTAAGTCAGGCACACCAGCAAAAGCACCCATAGACCCTCCCCTCCACAGAGAGAGACCTCTCTAATCCGATTGTCAACAGCCTCTAGGGCTTCCCCCAATGTGTGCTAAGTGTGTGACCCGTTTCCGATTCCGATTGCACACCGCAGAAGAATGTGTGGAAGAGGGAAAAGCCAGCGTAATAACCAGAACCACCTCAACCCTTTTGCTTCCTCCTCCGTAACAGGGTCATCAGCATGCGGGACAACAAAATCAAGATACAGAAACCCACCGAAACCTTCAATGCCGTGCACTACACACTGCTCAAGCTGGACCTCAGCGGGGATCGCAATGATCCCACCAATCTCCAGACCCTTCGGAAGTAAGTACACCCACGCACCGGCCTGCTCCTCCCGCACACACCCCTCCTTACCCCAGAACAACGTTTTGTATTTATTTTCAAAAAGTATGACCAGAATGCGGAACATGCGCTCGCTCTCCATCTCCCGGCTGGGCTCTTCCACCGTGGGACCCGATGACTTTAAGGACTTTGGAGTGGAGCTGGAGGATCTGCAGATCACCAGAGCCAGTCTCTCGGGCATACAATCGCATGCCTTCAAGCATGTGCGTGGTCTGAAGCGGCTGGATTTTAGTGAGAATGGAATATCGAGCATTGAGAATGATGCGTTCCATGAGGTTGGTTCTTGAAAATCCTTGGGTATCGATTGGCTAACATTTGTATCTCTTGCAGATTGGCCACTCTTTGATCTCATTGAAGATGTCGCATGGTTACTCGGGCAGTGCCTTGCCTGCAGAGCCCCTGCGTCATCTCACTTCACTGCAGGAGCTGGACTTTAGCAATAATCACATCAGCACCATGAGCGATACGAGCTTCCACTTCTTGAAGAACCTACGAATGCTGGAGCTGCACGACAACCGCATAGAACAGGTCCTCAAGGGCACCTTCCAGGGCGACATTCACACCAAATTGGAGGAGATCTCGCTGCGTTTCAATCACCTCACATCCATCTCGCAGCACACATTCTTCGATCTTGAGGCGCTCCGTAAGCTGCAGCTGGATGACAACAAAATCGACAAGATCGAACGTCGTGCCTTTATGAATCTGGATGAATTGGAGTACTTGAGTCTAAGGGGAAATAAGCTGAGCAATCTGGCGGACGAGTCCTTCCAGAATCTGCCCAAACTGGAGATCCTGGACATGGCCTTCAATCAGTTGCCAAACTTTAACTTTGACTACTTCGATCAGGTCGGCACGCTGTCCAATTTGAATGTGAATGTCAGCCACAATCAGATTAAGCAGCTGATGTACAACTCTTCATGGAGCGGCAGGAATGAACATGGTAGCATCCAAATATACCTCGGGGTGGCACTTGCTCTAAGTGTTTACTTTTCCTTGCAGGTGGCATGTACCACTCGAACATCAAGATCTTGGATCTGTCTCACAACAATGTTTCCATCATTCATCCGGGCTACTTCCGTCCCGCTGAGATCTCGCTGACACACCTCCATTTGGGCTACAACTCTCTGATGGTGGGTAGCTCTGATTCATCCCGAAAACTCGCCTTTATGTGTCATTTTTTCTTTGTAGAACACCACGCGTGATGTGTTTGGCAACATGCCCAACCTCCAGTGGCTGGATCTCAGCTATAACTGGATCCATGAGCTAGACTTTGATGCATTCAAGAACACCAAGCAGCTGCAGCTAGTCTATTTCGCCCACAACTTCCTGAGCGATATACCTCAGGATATATTCAAGCCGGTTCATGCCCTGCGCATCGTTGACTTCTCGCACAATCACCTGCGCGGACTGCCCGACAATCTCTTCTATAATGGTGGAATGGAAAAGTGAGTTGCAAGGAGAAACGCTTGACTAACTGGTGGTTACATTTTTTGTTCTTATTCAGACTCGATGTCTCGCACAACATGCTCTTGAAGATCCCATCTTCATCGCTGTCCAGCTTGGCTGCCCTGACACTCTGCGAGCTGCACTTGTCCAACAACTTCATCTCCACCATCCACAGCATGGATCTGTCCAACAAATTTAGAGTAAGAAAATCCTTTATCCACAATCGCAGCCATCTAACATCGCTCCTTGCAGTCACTTCGCTATCTGGACATCTCCTACAACTATTTGCTTCGCATCGACGATGCCGTCTTTGCCACAATGCCCAGACTGGCCGTGCTCGATCTCTCCCACAATCGTGATCTAAAAGTAATGGACAAATCTTTCATGGGCCTGGAAACATCACTGATCAAGCTGGGCATGGAGAATGTCTCCTTGAGCACAGTTCCAGAGATCCGACTGAAGTATTTGCGTGAGTTCCGACTGGGCTACAACGAGCTGCCCTCGATTCCGCAGGAGTTGGCCCATAATATGAGCAACCTGCGCATGCTGGACCTCTCCAACAATGATCTGACAAATGTACCACTGATGACACAATCACTGCCGCATCTAAGGTGCGTTTAGCCATTCAAGGGATTTTTCTATTCGACTCCTGATTGTTTCTTTAAATATTTACACAGACGCCTCATGCTTTCGGGCAATCCGATCACCTCGCTAAACAACAACAGCTTCGATGGCGTCAACGAGGACCTCGAGATGCTGGATATATCCAACTTCCGGCTGCATTACTTCGAATACGGCTGCCTCGACTCCCTGCCCCATTTGCGATCCCTCAAGCTGACGGCCTACTCCCATCTGGAGCACTTTAACATTCCCCATTTGCTGCGGCATCACTACAACATTCGGGAGCTGTGGATCGAGGCCCCACAGCCATTCACGCGCATCGTGAAGAAGGGCTCGGGTCCCACACAGGAGATGCAGACTCTACAGCTCGGCAATCCGACCGATCTGCAGCGGGAGATGGAGGGACATCTGCCCTCAAAGCTGACGAACCTCACGTTCAGTGGCCCGCAGTTTGGTAGTTTGAATGAACACATCTTAAAGGTAGTAATATACCCTATCGTTATGCCTATGCTAAATGATTATTTTAGGGCATGCGGTCTCCCTACCTCTACATGCAACTCTTCAACACCTCGCTGCAAGCACTGCCGCCGAATTTCTTCAAGCATATGGGTCGAGTGCGCAATATCTCGCTGGATATTCGCTACAAAAATCGCAACCTGAAGAAGATACCCAATCCAAATACAGGCCAGGTGCCCTATCTGCCCAACAGTGTTTTTCTGACTGACCTGAAGATGTCCCACACGGATCTCAACTGCGATTGCGATTTGGGGTAGAGTTCACACACAATTTATGTAGCCATGTTTGTCGCTATAATCTCTATCCCTTTGCTTTAGATGGGTCGAGTTTTGGCAGCGCAAGCGACGTCAGTATATTTGCTCATCGCAGACCTGGACCGACACCGTCTTCCGTACTTTCATGAACTCTCCCTGCCAGGTGTACGGACGCCACAACTGCGATGACCATGACGATGATCTGCGCGAGACGCGCTGCGAGAACAAGGGTGGTCAACAGCTCATGGAGGTAAGCAATTGATCACACTCAATGATCAATCTACTAACCGACAAACTCTACATTGAAAAAGGCACTCAAATTCGATTTGGAATGCGGCTGGGATAATGCCAATTGCCGGGAGGCTGCCTTCGTGGTGGTGGCCGTGTGCGTGGCCATGGTCTTTTGGATGTGACTTCTGCACTTTGCATATAAGACGTCCACCGACTTTTATAACATTCTAGAGCAAGTCTATGGCAGGCCGGTCATATAGATTCTTCGTTAATAGCCTGCCTGCCATATAGGGTTTAAGCGTGATGACGATGATGATGAGACTTTTGCCTCTTTTGAATCCTTTGTTAGCATTTTTCTCTCAACCTTCTCTCGACCTTCTATCCGCTTTAGGGTCCTTGGTAACGCCTTATATGTAGTACTCTCTCTCTCCACACCTAGCACTTAATACCAATCACTTTATATTACCAACAAACAACCATAGTTCACCGCAAAGCACCGCATAGATCCATCTCTCTAGCTTCTACGTCTACGTCTGTCTCTTCCACGTGTATGTATACTTTATATTTGTAGTATATTTAATCCAACTAATTTTAACCTATTTAATTACCATCCCATGACACTTTTCTGTACTTCTTTTATAAGTTGGTTCACTTCGCTGCTTAAACGATTCCAAAATGAAAGTCTGTAAAATGTTTCATAAACATATAATAAATATTTACGGTAGGTTAAGTTCGTCCTGCTCTTTCGGCTCTTGCTTCTCTGGCGTTATGTCCGGGTTTTTTGTCGTTGCGGAACTTTACACTTGCAGGACATTTGGATTATTATGGGGCCAGGGCCAGCACTTTTCTGCTCCTGCAAATTATGTACACAATCGTTGGGCAGGCACCAGGGCTGGACCAGCCAGCAACAAACAATTAAAACTTTTTGGCTTAAAGTTTTTTTTGCGTTCTCCGCCCACGCTCACTTTTCCATACGATAAATTATTGTGAAAGGCGGTGAACGTTTCTCGCTCTACTTTCTACAATTCTCCACTTGGACTGCTATGCTCTAGATGAGGATACTATGATTTTGACAACAAATTGGTAAATAGGAGAAGGACAGCTGAAAAAGAGAGTATCTGAAGGAGAGTAAGATATCTGCCTGATCCATCTCAATAATCGCTGATAAGTCCTACCGTTCACTGTCACTTTATATATTTATCTCCAAGGGTATCTAAACCTTCGTTCAGCTAACGCCAGACATCCCTTCGTGTTTTTATATATTTTTTTGGCAGTTTTATTGAGCTCAAAGTACTTTGTGATATACGGACAGGCTGTGGCAGAGCACGAGTAGCACTCGCAGGAGGTTAGGTGGTTTCTGTGGGGCAGACGGAGCATCCGGCTTCAACTAAAGTTCAAATGGGGCAGCAACAATCTCATCAACTTCCCGTTTATGCACTTTGCCGATGCCGGTGGCCGGTGTGGGTGCCTCGCAACGACCGCAGTACTGGAGCTGTATGGACGGAAGAGTGCGATTGTGTGAGTTTTTTTTGCTGCTGCTATTCAGTTTGTGTGTTTGTGGGTGTGTGGAAGACTTTTTACCTGTTGGCCAATTAAATTTTCAAAACGTGGCCGCACAAACGTCCAGGCACCCATATTACGATGCTCTTCCTGGCTCCAAACGAAGGCTGTAAATGGCAAAAGGCAGAGCATATAAGTAGTGGGGGCAGAGGAGTACGGAAAAGTTTACGATATAAAACTCACATTGCACGTGGCCGTACTGGGCGAGCTGTGCCTGCAGCTCCTGGATGGGGAATGGGCAGAGTGACTCCAGCCGCAGGATGGCCGTGTCGTAGGCTTGGCGCTTCTCCCGCTCCTCCGCCAGGGCATAGTAGTGTTTTCCACTGCACAGAATAACCTTTTGCACCTTCTCCGGCTCCACTTTAGTATCACCTAAAACGATGCAGCAGACAACAGACTGTTAATAAAGGAAACTACGCCAATATAAGGTTGACATTTACGCACCCAGAACATTGTGGAAGAGTGTGCCCGGCTGAAAGTCTTCGTGCGTGGAGGTGGCTGCCGGCAAGCGGAGCAACGTCTTGGGACCCACCACCACCAATGGCTTGCGGAAATTCCTGGCCAGCTGGCGGCGCAGAACATGATAGTACTGAGCTGGTGTGGTGGGGTTGACAATGTGCACATTGACGCTATCACCATCTGGGGATGTCTCCTTGGAGTCGCACAGTTGCAGGAAACGCTCAATGCGGCACGAACTGTGCTCGGAGGCAGCGCCATCGTAGCCATGAGGCAGGAGCATCACCAAAGCATTCGACTCCATCCATTTGGCTGTGAACAGAAACAGAGAGAGATTAAAAGGAGTAAGACATCTGATGATTATAACTCACTTTCTCCCGAAAAGATGAACGCATCGATGATGATTTGTGCTCCATTCGCAAAGTCACCGAATTGGGCCTCCCAGATGATCAGATTCTGTGGATTGTCAATGGCCATGCCATACTCGAAACCCAGCACGGCCTCCTCCGATAGGATGCTGTGTGCCAGCTCCAGTTTTCCACCATTGCCGCCCTCCATGCTGTTCAAGGGAATGAACATCTCGTTGGTCTTCTGGTCCACCAGCATCGCATGGCGGTGGGAGAAGGTGCCGCGTCCCACATCTTCACCACTGATGCGTATATTATGGCCCTGGTACATGAGGCTGCCGAGAGCCAAGGCCTCAGCGGTGGCCCAATCGATTTTCGATCCTGCCTCCAGTTTTTTCAGGCGAGCATTCACAAAGGTCTTCTGTAGATGTGGATGAATGTTCTGGAAGGAAGAAAGGGAAAGTCTTAAGGCTCGTCGATTGCTTTAATCCTTCAGGTATACTCACGAAATCTTCGGGATAGCTGACACTCTGCTGTCCTATGTAGTGCAGCAGTCCGTAATCCACACCCGTGTCCCAGTAGGTGAGCTCCTTGGACGGTGCCAACTGGAGGCCCGCCCATTGCTTCTCAAAGTAGGATGGTGGCGGCTGATAGCTGGGGGCCAAGGCCAACTCCTCTCCCAAATATTTCATGTAGGTATCCTTCATTTCCTTGGCCTGTGATTCCGATAGAACTTCCTCTTTGGCCAGCTGCTGGGCATAGAGATCCGGCACCGACTGACGCTGGTGGACAATCTGATAGACCAGGGGATTGGTGAAGGTGGGATCGTCCAGTTCGTTGTGGCCCCAGCGACGGAAGCAGTTGAGATCGATGAAGATGTCCTTGCGGAACTCACGCTGGTAGCGGAAGGCCAGGTTGCTGATGCGCGCCAAAGCCTCGGGATCGTCGCCATTGACATGGAAAACTGGCGCCTGAATGGACTTGGCCAGGTCGGAGGTGTAGGCTGTGGACCGACCGCGATCCCCGGGTGTGGTGAAGCCCACCTGGTTGTTCACAATCAAGTGGAGGCTGCCGCCCACCTCAAAGTGCGGGACATAGGCCATGTTGAGGCACTCCTGGTTGATGCCCTGGCCGGCAAAGGCCGCATCTCCGTGCAGGATTACGTTGAGCACGTGCTGGCCGAAAGGCTGATTGCCAGTGCCAAAGGCTCCTTCACCACGTGCCTGCTGCTTGGAGCGGGCCTTGCCCATGGCCACGGGATTGGCAGCCTGAATTCAGGATTCAAAGATGAAGTTACAAACTTTTGCGGCATGAGAGCTGTCGGCTTACCTCCAGATGTGAGGGATTGCGCACCATGCTGAAGTTTAGAGGTTTTCCCAGCACCTCCAGCTGCTCGGAAACATCTGCAAGAGGAAAAACGCAAAGGGATTCGGTGGTTTGAAATTGATTAAATTACGCATACGCGTAAGGGTGTGCCGTGTGGCGGAAAAGTTCCACTTACGGAAGTGACTTATGACGTCCGACATGGCCCCGATGTCCTCGCTGAACTCCGATGCGCCGCTGAGCTTGCGGAAAACTTTCGCCGGCCGCATGTTGAGGAGCGCCGCCTGCAGCGGTGTTCTGCCTCTGTGAGGCATTGCCAGCACCACGTGCTCGATATTCGCTGTTGTTGTTACGCGGTTGCATGTGGAAAGAAGGAAAAGTTTTGGGGCAAAGAAGATTAGCGTTAAGTAAGCGTGCACTGATATGTGAGCAGCCGATGGGGTGGTTGCTGGGGTTTCGATGGATGTCCAGGTGTGAGGACGTGACACGGCACGAAAGTTTTGGCACCCACACCCACAGCTATTCGATTCTCCTGTCATCTCTCTGGGCTGTCAGGCCACAAAGTTGGGAACATTGAGTAGGGTGCGCGATATTCTGTCCCGCTAATCGTGTTTTCTAAGCAGCCAACACGCCCGGGCACAGAACAAACATTCTTCCAGCTCCCACTCTAAATTCTAAGACTCACCTTGGACACTGTCGCGAAGGAGCTGCCAGAAGAAGGCCAGCATGGACTCGGCACCTTCGCCGCCGTAGCGCTTGACAGTGGGAAACTTGAGTGCCATGAAATTATCCCAGGCCTGTGACTTAATTAACAGCTCGGCGATTTCGCGACGCTGGGAGTTGGGCAGCTGGTGCTGCTGTTCCAGCGATTCGAAGTTGCTGGCCAGCCACTCGCGCTCCTCCAGATTCTGTGCAAGGATTGGAATGGCGGGGATCAGTATTCGGTCAGCGTACTCGCATAAGGATGGGGCTAAGGGGCACTTACCTCGACATAGGAGAACTCGGCGCTGACTGCACTGCCGCAGTAAATATCCTTGAGCAGCTGCTCCAGTTGGGCCACGTTCTCGGCCACCTGCGGACCACTTAAGAGGCCAGCGGTGCGCACCGTCTCCTGTGTCTGCAGTCCATAAAATGCGGGACTTAATTCTTGGAGCTCTGTCCCACTGCTCGACCGGGTCCAGCGCCAGGGCCAAGCATGGTCATAAAAGCAGAAGACAAATACACAGAGCCGGGACATCGTGTGACAATACAAAGAATGAGAAACCAGAGGGGAACAAAAAATAAAATATGACATTTGACAGAACTCCTCTCCCTCTGCTATCGTGTAGCAGGAGAAGTAGGAGAATGACCTACACCCACCTCTGGCCACTGGCCGGCGCTTTGATGCTGATGGGATTTACGGTTGCCAATTTGTGTCCGTGCTGGCGGAAGGCTTCCACCAGGCGGTATACATTGCCCTGTGCGTTCCGAGCCGCCCGCACCTCCTCGTCGACTGCGAACACATGCGTAAACAATATAAATTTCCCCCCACGTTATAAATTATTTAAAAAAGGATTCACGTGCAGTTGCGTTGCGTCCTTGCCATCGCATTGCCAACTGTGAGCGGCCTTTTGAATTTATTGGCCTTTTACTTTTATGATATTTATTCTTTTGCTTTTCACGCTTAGATTCATTTTGATGGACTCTTGGTCGGCAGGGTCTGTGTACTTTCAAATGATGTTTGCTCGGTAAATATGATGGGTGTGATATGGATGTGAATTGAGGGAGTAAGTAGGGGTGTGGGAGTGGGAATATCTTTCTAGATAGGAATCCTCGACAGCTAAATAAAGTCATTACAGCAGAGAGAAATGAGAGTTAATGGTAGAACAGAAGTTATGGCTCCCTGTAGTCACCCACGTTTACTCTTTTGCTCTTCCGATTGATAGGAAAGAGTTTTCTCCAAAGAATAACATGGATTCCGATTCTCAGCGCCGCCCCTCTTAGCGTATTTTAAATTCGTTCTATTGCTTGGGAAAACCAATCCCCAGTTACAGATGAGAAATGGCAATGGTTGTTTTTATTGGTTGCCTTCTGTTTTTTTTTGGCATTTTATTCTCTGGTTGAGCCATTGACAACTCGTTGGGTGTTTAGGTGTTTAGGTGTTTACGTGCCAAAGTGTTATCCTGCTTAGAGGATTTATGCGATGACGCATATCACTCGATTACAGGACCTTATTTGAAGCCACGAGTCGTGGGTTTACAGGACCTCTTTCCGCAGGGGCAGTCATAGGTTGCAGGACTCCTTAGGCCAAGAGGCTGGTTTGGGGGCTCATTCCCACCTTCGTGGGGTTGTCGGCAGATGGTTGTTGAATTTTCTACATCAATTTATGCAATTTCCACACAACATTTCGGTGATAAATCAATTTAATGTGGGCGAGAACCGGACAGGAGCACGACGAATGATGAATGAATATTTGCGGCGACAACATTTCAACTCGGTCGTGCAAATATTATTGGAGTGCCGCCTCAAGAGCCAAAGGATAATGGCCTGCTTGACGGATATGCAAGCAAACAAGGACGAATGACAAACATTGAGATCCATCCCGGAATCCTCACGGGGGGGCTGTGGCTGTCAAGTAAATTAAGCCGGACACAGGAACAGAAGCACTCACAGGAGCTGTGCACTGATGTCACAGCAGACATTCGGACAATGACAATGTCTTGTCTCTTGGTTCCAGTCACCAGTGAAAACAGACGGCCAACGAAGGAGTTGAATCCAGACGGAGCATTGCTGGCCAGAGTGTCGATAAGCCCTCAATTGTGTACGCAACACAGGATGCAGGACAGTCACAAAAGAGTCTCAATTTTTCGGCCACTTCTTTTGTTCATCGAGCTTTGAGCATTTTGTCCGGCCATAGAGGCACCCCGGAGCTAGCATTGAGGATGAGGCTCTATCTGTTGGGTTGAACAGCTCACTCTCTTGTCTACTCTTAATTAGTGCAGTTTGATACGGAGACCCAGGGGGCCTTTACAATCTTTAGCAGCTCTAAATATACGAATAACAGCCACAGCTCTGGCTATAAATTTTCAAGTTTATCAGATTTCACAGTGAAAACACAGTGATAAGCCAAACCACCGAAGATTATCACGGCTAGGTAACACAAGAAAAGCATAAAACAACGGAAATTGAGTGCAAAATTGGGCCACGGGGATACCTTTTTTAAAGAGTTGAAAACAGAATTTAGGGATAAAACAGTAGGTTGAAAAGATGGAACGTTATTTCCGTTTAAAACGAGTCTATTAATTTTGTCTGATTTACATTTGTAAAAGAACACTATACACCCCTGTTGCTCTTAAGACTACTGGGTACAAATATTTCAACAAAAAACACAAAAACCACCAAAGAAATATTCCACAACCCAGAGGAGTCGTATAAACGGAGGCACAGACAATAAATTACAGAGATATATTCAGCAAGTTGTGTCGAGCATGTTCGATGGTCAGCTGCAGCTGAAGCTAAATTTTGTTTGATTTCTTCTTGCAGATTTCTTGCTTTTGCGGGCAGAAATTAGTTAAAGCGAAAAACGTGATAGTCAAAAAGAAGCAGAAGAAGCAAGTAAGCCATTAAATATAGTTTGACAAGACATCAGATGTTGTTTTTTATGGTTAACGGAGCACAAGCCATATGTAAGTTGTAAACAAGAAAGTGTTCTCTAACAGGTTCGATGTGCAGCAGCCACTAAAGATTGAGTTTGAGATACAGTTTTTGTTTGACTTTTGGTTCTGGTTTTTGCGTTTACCCACAGCAATTTGTCTTTGATCTTTTATTTTCTCCCATCGTTTCTGTTCTTATTGTTTGTCTGCTCTCTCTCTTCTGTTTTTCTTGTTGTTTTGAGGTTTCTTTTCGGTCAGTGTTGTGCTCTCACTAAGGGGCAGCGGTCAAGCAAAGAGTTTTCTCTTTAGTTGATGTGTACATTTCCATTGCTCTTTTGTTTATTTGTTTTTGTTGAACGAGGTTCTCCTTATCGATGCGATGGCTATCTTCACGGATGGATGGAACTTTTATATTTGAAGTCTTGGCAACACTTGCGGGCCGGCACTGGAGATTACCTTGATAGTCGCGCTTGGGAATCGGCTTATAACCCCAGACGCCCTTTTCACTGTGATAGCCTCGCTGTGGGCGTGTCTGCGCGACGAGCAGGGCCGCGAATCTCGTCTCCGAGTGCGAAAAGCAGCGAAGCATTTTCATTGATTAAACGGGAAGCGTATCACTGGATGAGCACGAGAAGGGAAAGCCGCCGCCGGTTGCCGTTCGACTAAGAACTGAAATCGGATGGGATGTGTTGGGGAGCCCGGACCCCCACAGAGTAGTATTCCAGTGCTGATAAGCAAACTGCGAGAGTATGAAAGTGATAGTGCGTGAGAGAAATGTATGCTGATACTGAAATAGACAGAGAGGGAACGAAGAATTAAAGAGCTTTCTGTTCGATCGCTGTTATATTGTACTGTTGGTACTAGTTAACATTATGTTGCTAGCAGCTTTGTCACCAGGTGTCTCCACTAACTGTACATGTGGTGTAAAACAAATTTAAAATAGTTCACATCTTTCATGCCACGACAATGGGGCCTAAAACACGACTAACGACAGGAATTTCGAAACTTATTCTTATCAGCCACCAAAGCTGATAATGCAATACGTTTGCTGGTCATTAGTTGATAGTTTTGGTGTAAACGTAAAAGGGGCTTTTACTAACTATGAAAAATGTGTCATGAATTAAAAGTAGCTAACATTTTTAACATTTTTATTTAAGGCTACGATGGTGCTCTCTGAACTAGTTACTTTACACAACATTTTAATATAATAGATTGAGAGTATAGTTCATATTAAAAATAACTCAAAGGGAGACAAAACACATACCAATTTTCTACTCACTTGAAAACCCTCAACAACTATTTCCATTTCACATGAACATTCTGAGAAATTCTTGTTTTGAAGGAAAATTTTTGAACATTATTTTTGAAGGGTCATCCGTACAAAAATCTTTTAAAATTCCAAACTAAATTCCTCAAAAACTGTAAAGTCTATTCAGATTTCAGTCAGATAAAGAACCCTAGAATAACCATTACTTTAATTTTCCCATCCATTTTTTTATCTTTTCTTGGCCCAAATCCCTCCTACACACATTTTTTTACGTTTATGGATCTTCCTCAATGAAGACCCTGACATTTTCATGGCCTAATGAAATCAATTTAAACCTTAGACCATTCATAAAAAGTAAGCTGCAGCGGAGATGCCGTTTGACGAGCTCGTAATGGGTCATTGTCTATAATTATAACAGGAAGTGTCTTCTGAGCTGGGACGACAAAATGGCCGCATCATGACAAACTCAAAGTTTGATTAACTGTAATTGAAATGAATCACAAATGGCAGTAGAGACCACAGTCAACAGAGTGAGAGAGAGAGTGGAAGGGTATAAACAAATAATTTTGTAATTCAAAAACTTGCACAATCCCCCCAGAGAGTCGGAGAGGATGAGATACAAATATGCACGAGTATGCGAGTGGTAAAGCCCTATCCAAAAACAAAGTTCAGGCCGAAAGAGCAAAAGGAATGCGTTATCAGTGCGTAAGTTTCCCTGATAAGATATGATATGACTCCCAGAGAGAGAGAGAGGCCCAGAGTCAGAAAGATAAGACTACGTGTTTCACAATCGAGCGACAGGTGAAACAGTTTTGGCAACGCCCCGATCGGTTCTGTTCCGTAAAGTTAACTTTAGTCTTAGCTGAGCGTGGACCCGGATCGAACGTGTTTTTCTGCCTGGTAATTGAATAACGACAAGTGCTGAAAAGTGATAAGAGAGCTGATAAGCCCTAAGTATCTGACTGATACTGATGATGTCATCAAGTGAAAATTCTTAAAAAACTGTGAAAAAATACAAGAAAACCCACCAGAAAAGTGCTAATATTTTGTGTTTGTTTCCCTATTTTGCAGTGCCAAGAAAAACCAAATAAACGAACGAACAATCGAACGAAAAACTAAGTGAAAATGCGCTTCAAACTGTTTGTGGTTTGTGCGCTGGCATGTGGCTTCATGGCCTATGTCCTGGCCAACGAGAACATCTCCACTGAGCTGGAGGATGAGATTCTGAATGCCGTGCCCGTGTCAAAACCTGCAGCAGCAGCCGCAGCCGCGAAAAACGTGCCACAAAAGGATGCGGAATTCGTAGAGATCATAAAAGAGCAACCCAAAAAGGTGGAGACACCGGCAGCGAAGCCAGTCCCTAAGCCGAAACCACCTGCAACTATTCCCACCACAAAGGCTGCCCTGGGAGCTGGTCAGGGAGGACAGCGGATGATACCCGTGCTGTCCAGCCGTGGCACCGACGATATCTTGACCGTGGCCGGCCTGAAGCCACAGCCCATGTCCGGGGCGTTGGTTATGCCATCCGACTATTTGGGAGAGCTGTACGATGTGGACTCCAGTGGCTACAATTGGGGTGAGTTGTCCCTGATACCCATTACTCATCCGCCGCGTTCTGTTGGCTATCTTATCAGGAGGGTCTCAGTTTGGTTTAGTTACCAATATTTGCTCGTCGATAACTTGTTCGGGCAGGTGCTGTAAGCTCGCCCTCTCTCTCTCTCGCTGTGGCTATGTCTCTCTTGCCCCACCGATAAGATAATGCCCGAGTTGAGGCATTAAAAGCTAACAATTTTCTTGTTTTCTTCTTCCACCTTTTGGCTCTGCAAACAAAACAAGTGCGTGGTTGTACAGGAGGAGGGAAGATAGTATATCTGTATAGTATATACATGAGGTAGGGGGTAGAGAGAGAGAGAGAGCTGAGGATTCATGCTATTGCCCAAGCATGAATCAGTTTATAGCCCCGTACGAGTACAGGTGGAATCGCAATCGGGTCGCATATTATAATGGAACTTTATTTATCACTCGCTCAGGATGGGGCGGAATGGTTATTGGTATTGGAATGCCATCACCGTTAGTCAGAGTTCTTTGTTCGACTGTGATTACGTGTTATGTGTGCTTGAGGTGTGGTTAAAGGTAGGAGGACAAAGGGGAATTTTTTACTTCTAGGAAAGTATGTTCTAATGCAACATAGATGCAACAAAGCTGCTTGTTTTCAGAAAAAATTGATCTCTACTTATTTGCTTTTATGTTACTTTATTTTATGTCTTTAAAAGTTACCACTATCTTAGAGCTATTTAGAACTATTTAGATAGATTACAACTAAGGTTATCCTTGGGAACCATCATTTTGCACACGCCACTCCTCTCTGACATAGGTCACACAGTTACACCTCTCTTATGCACTCATTGAGATGCGTTGCTCATACTCGGCGATGCGCAGTCGGACGGGCACCACGAGGCTGAGATCCTCCATGATGGCATGATGCTGGGGCCGCACCGAGGCGCTTGAGTTCTGGCGCGAAATCGTGGCCCTCGACTTGTCCATGGAGGGTTTACGACGCAGCGAGCATTTGCGCTGGCTGCTCATTCCCATGGACGAGGGCATCGCGAATGTGGTGCTGGGCGAGGCGGTGGCCATCAAACGCTTGGGCTTCGGGGGCGGCACTTGGCTGAGGACGGATATTCCGCTGAGGCTGCTGTTGTTCGATGAGCTTGTGGTGGCAATGCCCTGTGGCCGAGTGGAGCGCAGCAGAGAAATGAAGCGATTGTTGTTGTTACACTTGCTGCTGATGCCGTTGGCGGTGCCAGTGGTGGCACCGCTCCGTGTGGACTCGAAGGTGTTGGTCAGCTTGTTGAAGAAGTTAATTTTGTCAGTGACAGTCGGGGTCACAATGGGATTCACGTCCACATCCACATCCACATTCACGGTTTGCTGCTCTGCCTTTTCCTGCAGCTGCAGCAGTGGATGTTCCTGTTCTGTGGTCTGTGGTTGGTCCTCACCATCGGATCCGTTGTTGCGCTTGGACATTTCCAGGACCTTCTCGCGCAACTCCATGGACCAACGCTTCTGGGCCGTGTGAAGTTGAGGCCTCAGGCAGGGCAATGTGGTCTTTGCAGGGACTGCGGCTGGCGTGGATGAATCGTGTTGTAGCTGGAGGGCCAGTTCCGTGGTGATGCGCGGCTTGGGCGTGGAGGTGACGGATGGTGAGGACATTTCCTCATCAATGTCCATTTCCAGCTCACTGATGAACGACGACGAAGAGTGCGAAGTGCTGCAGCCCATAGCTGCTGGCATTTTGTAGTTGTAGAACTGGAAGTTGAAAGTGCTGATGCTCATGTTGAGGCTTGCTAACAGAATGTAGCAGGACACACAAATGTCGGGGCTTATATAGCAAAAGAAGCAACGGCGAAGCTTCTACCTGATCCCGACAGCTGCCATAGAGGTCCAGGTAGAAACCCACCATTACGATGCGGTTACCGTCGCTCTACAAAATCCTTCACTATTTGACTCGCCACCTGGAGAATTCCAGGAATCTACCTAAGCAATCTGTAAAATCTAGAAATCTAACTATAAAAAAGAAATATGGCACAAGTTTCCGTGGAAACGCAACCCGAACACGCGAATTTTACGTATTTTCCGCGCACCAATTTTCACGTATACCAAAAGAAGGCAGCGTCTGCTCTTAATCCGCGGACCCTTAAAGGATTAGCGTACTTTATGATACACCGCTGCAGGCATTGATTCATAAATAGATTAAAAATAATGCTGCTGCTGCTGCTGCCATTGTGCGACAGATGTTCACATATTCAAGGAAAGAAAAAAATCTAGAAAAATCTGCTCTTCTGTCTCTTGGTTTTTATGATCCTCAACGGCTGAGTGTCCGTGGACTGTCCGTTAGCCGTGTAATTACAATCGAAAATCTGTGCATTTAAAAGCAAACAATTCACTTGGCATTCGGTAATTGGCAGCTGAACAGAAGGGAAGGTCGCAGAGAGATTAATTGGAGTATGAATATAATTATAAATGAAGCGTTAAAAGGATTCACAATAACTTTACAATGATTCGATATGAAGGAATAAATATGCCTTTGATTATAGCTTAAATGGATTAGTCATCCGTTTTGGATGCTGCCGAGGATGACAATTTATCCACAATTTGCTAAGCCATAAATGCTTTCTCATTTCCCTTTATAACTCTTTTCAATATATTTATAACCTCTGCCATAGTACGCATAATTAAAGCTTTGTACAAATAATTTAATTGGCACTGATTCAATATGTAATATTCAATTAACACTCAAAAGGGTGGGAAATTGACATTACAGCCGGCGCAAGTTAATTGATTGATGGACATACAGAACTTTACAGAACTTAAACCTGACCTTAAAGCGACACAAATAAATTCTCTGTTGCCTGGCAGTTCCCTCAACGGTTAACCGAGAAAACCTCAGCTTTCTCCGAGATGCCAGAAATATTTTGAAATCTTTGTCAGGAGTCAGCTTTGCCCTCCCCTTGGCCTAAACTTCGCTTGCAATTTTGCAGTCTTCTGGTTAGCGTCAGGAGCAATAGCTTTAAGCGGCCTGCCACTGGTCCTGCCACCGGGTCCATTGGGAATGTCAGCTTTGCACTTAATCAGCTTAAATTGCTTTAAAAGGCCATCGCCAGTGGCAGGAGGCAGGCGGCAAAAAGAAATTAGAGAAAAGAGGAGCCACAGAAGAGAAGCAGAAATGAATATTAACTGTGACCTTTAATGGCCAAGTGCACGGCACGGCAAGAGGACCAAGATGCAGCAGGAAGCAGCAGGCGGGAAAATCAAAAAAGAAAAGCGAAAATGGCAAAGTTTTCCTTACAGTTTATGGAATGCACCTCCTTTATAAAAGTAGTAGAGAAGATGCGAGTAATACTGTGGAATTGAAAAACTAATCTCCAGGGATTAAGTGTGAAATTTAAATGATAGGCTAAAGGTTGCCCCAAGAATGTTTCTCAAACTTAATGGGTGCTATTTTCCATTCAAAGTCATTCTATAACTTGTGCTTTTTTCTTTCAGATCCCAACAATAATGTTGCCCCGCCGAGCACTCCCTCAACGGCAGCCGGAGGCTATACGATCACCACCGCACGTCTGGCGGAGCTGCGAAACACCTTCATGTACTGGTACTTCGACAAGGATATGTATGGTGGCCGTGCTGACTATCAGTTCGACATCCATGCTTCGATGACACAGCTCCACAAGAATTTGAACTTCCAGCTGCCATTCTACGGCTTCAGGTTCAATTATACCAGGGTAAGACAGTCGTGGACTTCTTCAACTCGATTCAAACTCTATTTTAACCCACCTGTCTTACTTTCAGCTCTCTCTCAATGGTTATTTGGAGTTCTCCGATCCACCAGAGTACCTTACATATCCACTGGTGTTTCCTATTAAGGACTGGCCCACCAAGCGGGATCCCTCTTTCATTGGCATCTTCTTCAGCAAGTGCCGTGTGGGTCGCATCTATCCCTCGGATATTGACCAGCGCACGCCCGGCGTCTATTTCCGGTAAGCCAGATGCATCTTCCGTTTTTGCGGCCCTTCCGGCTTCGAATGCTCCTTTGTATTCGTATTTATTTGCTAACCATATTTATATTTGCCATGTTACTGCGAATGGCATTTGCATATTCAAAATGCAACCCCAGAGCACGCGCCGAGAGAAAGTATTTATACGCGCATTGGTATAGAATTTGTTTGTGTGTGTGCATTCGTTTTATTCCTTCTACGTGCGTATGTCGCCACGAAGAGCCTTCTGTATGCTGCGCACACAGAAATAGATTCATGTACGCTCATGTACATATTGTATGTTGCGCGTTTGTCTCGTTCTCCATTTCCGCTGGCCCCATTGTGTGTGTGTCGTCTGCATTTATTTGGATACTCTTTCAAAGGGTTAACTTTACACAGATCTGCTCGTCGCACTGTACACTTTGGTAGTGTATCTGTAGGATCGACTTGCCCAAGTTTCCCAAGTGCGACCATTCATTGTTTGTGATTGTTATTGTTTCGCTAGTACTTTTACTAGCTTGTGTCATTTATTGCCACTGCATTTATCTATTATTTCCATAGGGGCTCTACCTGTTTGGTTCTGTTCTGTCCCTTATCTGTGAGTGGATTTCCTCTTCTATAATTCTTCATTTGTGGTGGCATTTATTCTGTGATATATCCGATGCATAGCAGCTACTCTTATTATTTGGCGGCCAGCATCTCATTATCTGTGAATCCAACAAAGAGGATATGACCAAAGTTTTCCTCACTAATTTTGCCATAATTAAATTCCATTGACCAGCACTTTACCCCCTGAACTTTTCGAGGACAATGCATAAATTTATACAAACATGACTCGGATTTTTTTTCCTGTGCCACCCGCACTTTCGGTGGCTAATTATGCAAATGACCGCCAGTGGGAACTGAAATTATTTGTGGGCTATTTATATGAGTTTACAGCAGAAGAAAAACCTTTTCAAATTCTGTAATCCCCTCGTAAAAGAAGACGAGAGGAGAAACACTCAAAAATGCATTAATTAGCAAACCAAATTCCCCCTTAAATTGCCATTTCTATGTGGTTTCTTTTCCAAAAGTAGATCATGTTATTTGGAGCATAAATTATGGTTTCTCCATTGTTTCAACCAGCTTAAATTTCATATCCTCTCAAAGGAAAGGCAGGACTTTCTCTACCCACTACAGGAAGTCATAAAAAACGAACAGAGAAGAGAGCATAAATTACGGCGGAGTGACAGAGAGTGACAAGTCAGTTGTTGAGCGACGCATGCACGTGCTGATAGGACAGAGCACCACTACTAGCAAAAGCGAACGCGAACTGGACAGTGTTTCAACCAGAGAAGACCCCAAAAATGGGCAATTTTTTGTGGCACTATAGAATATGATGAACGTGGTCTTATCTATTCTCAAGCGAGTCAAATGTATGAATATTCAAATGTTTTTAGGGAAACATTTAGGGAAACAAAGCAATCCCTTTGATGAAAACGTAGGAAAAACAATTTATGGCTATTATCTCACTGTCCTTAAGGATTTTGGGGGTAAACATATTGTTGGTTCTACGTGTGCATATTAGAACATTTTCGTTGTTTTCCCTTTTATTTCCCCTATACCCCTTTGACCGAATTGTTGTCAACACTTAGCAACGCCGCCTGACAAATTGCCACGCCAAAGCAATTAACATCCTCCGAAGCGCCTGACAACACAGGAAGTTCACACAAAAAGAAGAGGAACAACGACACTGTACGGCGAGTGCAATCCAATGCATTTGTATAGTTTTCTACCGACTCCGACAATATGTCAAACTTGTCCCGCATAACTCTCTCATTGGCACAGCTGAGAGCCGAACAGAGTCACGGTCATTCTCTGACATTTAATTGTCTTTGGCGGTTTGGAAGTGGGGTTGCTTGCGAAAAACGAAGGAAAACCAAGGGAAATGTTCAGCCAAACTTTGATGTGTACGTGCGTTTGTGTATGGGGGTAGCAGGGGTTGCAGGGTGCCAAAGACTGAAGCTGTGACTGGAATTTAATTTAAATAACTTTGCATGGAGGAGAAAATAAAGCAGCAGAGGCTGGTGGTATTGAAGGCAAAATTCATGCAAACAGCGAAATGCGAGCAATGTAAAATTGCTGCAGAATGCCCTTACCCTTCATCCATTCACCCTCTCGTTTGGCACACATTTTCCATCCTACTTCGGAACCTCTCTGGACTCTACAATCACTACTCACTCCCTGACTGAGAATCAGCTTCACTTAGTACTTGATTCATATGTTTTACCGTAATAAAAATACACGTTTGCATAGCAAGCACGCAGTGTATGATGATCAACATTGGCAACAGATCTGAGTAACCGCTCGCTGTTACAATTTTTTGAGAGTGCTAGCAGAGAGAGCGTTAACAGATGGCTAACATGGGGTGTTAACAGCGCTGTGGCTCTGCTCAGGGGGACTGCCCTAAACCACAGTCAACAACAGCAACATTTAACACATATGTGTAACGATTCCTCAGAAAGAGTATCTGTTGACTCGACCTTCCCTCCGCTAACCTTCCTCTTTCATTCGACATCAATTTGATTACTCGCTCGCACTTAGCGCTCAGCGTTGGATTAGCTGTAAGTGCACGGGCATTGCGCATACCCCGCGCTGGTCGCTTGAGCATTAAATTCATTATGAGCTCACGTTTAATTACACACCCAAACACACAGACATACACACATGTACACGTATAAAATCTGCTAAGAGGAGGATCCGTTTGGACTAAGGGAATATAAAAACTTAGTGCCGAGCCGGGGTGTCGTTTGTTAAAGTTTTGCTTTG